TATCGACTTATCAATGAAACAAGTCAGTATGAAAACTCTTTCTATGATAATTATGACATTAAAACCAAATATGAGTCATTTGCCGAAGCATGATATTGTATACGTTTGTGAAAACTGAACTGGCCTGATTAACAGAATGTAGGAAATATCATTTACACTAGTTTACACCAGGCTGAATAAACGCCATTATCATTTTAAAAACCCTAAAACAGTAATACTATATATAATGCATGAACATATGGTACAGACACCGATACATATCAATGCTTGAATACAATTAGAACAGTTTCAATATGATAATAGAATTCTAATCTGATATTGATGGATAAAATCGAGTGCAGTCCGCTGCTGGAGTGAGTTTAGGCAGATATCTGTTGACTGGAAACAAACATGATATAAGCTTCCGGGCATAACTTAGTATGCATCCTTGTTTGATGATGACTGAACAGGAAACAAACAAGAAATGAACATTCGATGGTGTTGATTTTAAAACTGATATTGCAGTTGTGTTTTGCACCTTTCGTTTGCAGTGTTTCGGTGACTGGTTTAATTATTTATTGATATTAATTATTTCCTAATTATTTTGCCGGCAGTTTAGTTGCAGCAAATCCGTCTTTTAGGCTTTAGTGAGGCTCGCTGACTTGGTTGACACATGTCATCGGTTGCTCATATTGTTGATCACTGGATTGTCTAGTCCAGACTTGATTATTTACAGACCGCCACCATATAGCTGGAATAATGCTGAGTGCGGCGTAAAACAACAAATAAACAAACTAACAACGAAAAGCATCGCCTTCGAGATGGCGACACGCGGCAGAGTGAATAATGCAGCGTTAGGAATGAGGCATTGACTGAAACCATAACCGTTTATGTGAACCAGTACTGTTTTAAAGTGTACGATGGTCACATCCACATAGGTTTATCTTTAATATACAGTTGACATCGAACTGGAAGGAGGCGATATTAAATATATAAGTCTGTTGGCCTTCTAGTCGGAGAGACAAGGTATCATCCTGAGCACAATCTGATCTTACAGTTGCCGTTCATGATTTCTACCAATAATTCTGGCAAATTGAACAACGACGGGATACAGGATTTAGACGGAATGTGAAGTTTCCTTTCATAATAACTAACCATCCTCGACATGACACAACCGTCAAGAATTCTTAACCAGTCATATTGCTCGTCACTACGTCACCAACAAGGTCTTCTGCCAGCTGTACACAGGAGTCAAAACCTTGATTCGTCAGTAAACATGGAGTAACGCCATTAGAGCACATCCCGTTACCGGTGTTGCCTTGCCCACCCCAATCTTTTCTGCCTATGGAAAAGGTAGCGACACGCCCCCAAAGAGCCAGTTGTCTTCATCGTAGATTATATTTACCATCCTGGTATCCTTATTAAGAAATGGAGCAGATATGACTCTACTGCATGTGCCATTATGTCATGAGACGATATCATATAGATGCGGTTTTATAAGGTCATGTTTCACACAGGTCTTTGCAACCCAACCGTATGACTGTCCAACAGTCGAGAAACAACAACTTTTATTATTTCGGGCTATTTGGGTTATTGACAGGGTCATTTCTATGTGGTAAACCTCTCCTTATGGGATCTATGCCGAAACGTCGCCTTTCACAGAATACAGAAGTTGTATATCCATAAAATGACCATCATTCTTCATCAACTCAACTTCAAAAATGCCCATCAAAAGAATTTCATTGACATGCTGTATCGGAGGCATTTATAAGCGTGACCTGAGCTAAATTGTATTAGTGAGTGTAGTTTCCCAAGAAACGTAGGCAATTGTGGGTGCCTAACGTGCTGTTCATGCATGATGTGAAATTTCATTCTGATTAGACGTTGCGTTCAGATCCAACGCCTAGGTGTTGTTAACGTAACTTCAATTTTAGAAATACTCAAATCATTATTTCTCATAACATGTTTTTCAGTTGTGCATATTGGCATGCCTCCAAGACATTTCAGTCACGGCGGTGCCGGTTCAATAGCAGTATTGGGACGTCTTATAACTCCATCATGTCATACCTTTGAAACGTATTTATACTAATTTGATAGTCTGTATCAGACCCTGCAGCCTTCCCTTTTAAGCAGCATCATTACGTGACCAAGAATGAACGCAAAGATCAATACAAAGCAACATGTCATTGGAACAAGCATTTGTCACTTATCCCGCAACAAAACCTATGCGACTATTTTTAAAAATGTTTTCACATATCAGCAGACATTACCCATAGTTCATAAAAAGCTCATTTGGTTCACAAAAATCATAATGGTTGCTAAATCTGTGTATAGTTTCAGTACTGGCACATAATTAGCTATGTCTGATCTTGAAACTATTACCTATAAATTAAAAAAACGGTCTATTGAAATAATGACATATATAATGAAAACATATAATATTCTCAGTAAATTTATAACTTAGATTTTACGAAACTATTTTATTACTTTGTTGAAATGCGAACACATGCATTCAAAATATTATGTCCTGCATATTCAGACAAATATGACAGTCTGTGAACACGTATAACACATAATCATAGTCTCCAATGTAAACCTAAATCTCACAAAGGGTATCCAGGGCTAAACGTTCATCAAAGTGACAAATTGACTAAACTTTAACCATAGTTCCGTATGGGTGCACCAAGTATTGAGAGAAAACAGAAAACACGGTCTTCAATATAACACGCCCGTGTATCGATGGTCTCATATTCAATAACCATCAAATCGCCAATTCCCTTCCACTGATCACAGCCTGGAAAAAGGGAACCCGTGAGAACTTCTTGACCATGCCACATATAGATCTATACAGATTCGGATGACAAAAGACTCTCCACAAGACTGTATCACAGGAGGACTGACTTCATCTTTCCAATAGTCACATTTCCCTTTATGATGAACAATATTTCAACTGCTCCAGCCTCTTGTGATTACTCTCCCTAGGATTAAGGTACAATAGATCCTGCTCTTTTAATCGCGAGTTCAAAGAACGTCATACGGGTCTTGCTCAGAGCTCGAGGTTGTTTAATCAAGGTTCCAACATTCAAGGACCTTAGGAAGCTTTCAGAACGATGTATGGTGGACATGTGCAGGGTACACACGTGATTGGACGCATCAGTGACGAAAAGGTGTCGGATTTATGCCTTGCTTTGGCTTGTAGCATATATTCCCTTCGGGTTTTAATCAGTTGATCAATTGACATGCCTTTGAATGTGTTTATGATGGTGCCATCCATGGTGCCATCCCACACTTCACCAATACCCAGACAGCTCCACTGGCTACCTGTCAAACAGCGAATTGAGTTTATAGTGGTAGTATTGACCCACTAGTGTGTGTACGGCAAAGCTCCGCAGTACCTGCAAGACCTTGTCTGTGTGTATACCCCTGCAAGGTCGTTGCGGTCCAGAACCCAGCTTCAACTTCAAGTGCCCTCATATAACTGGAAATCTATGGCTACAGATCATTTCACTTTGCAGCAGCACATCTTTGGAACTCTCTCCCCACAGAACTCAGAACTACTTCTTCAAGTGAACTCAAAACCCACCTTTTCGCTGATACCTGTTAGCACTTTGAGCATGCAATGCATGGAGTTTAAGCGCAATACAAGCAGACAATATTATTATCATTTTATTAGCACTTGTTAATAGATTCATGGACACAGCCTAATCACGCAGTTGAATCATACAACTCACTCTGCTTCGAGCAAATATATTTTATGAAAATGGAAATGGTCATTTATACATTCCCCGTAATCTGTGACAGTAGACGCTGTCCGTCACCACATCCCCAGCTAAGCCGCACAGTGACGGCCAAGACAATCATATCTAATTACGTCAACCGCCCCCATGGCCCGAGATCCTTCGTGACTCTTCATAAACATCGGCATCAAATCCCCGTCCTGGGATAAGTGTATTAGAGGCATACCGAGGACAGCGCCACGGATTCTGTCCGCTGTTGTACAGCCAGTTCCTGTCTCAACTACACATGGCGTGTTCATCAATTACACACTTTATCTGGGAAACTCGACTTTGTATAGACGAGCAGTCAACGATCTTCAGTGAATGTGTTTATTTGACTGTCATAATGCAGATCAATTTGATTTTCATATATAAAAATGGCGACCTCGTGAAGAGAATGAATTTTTTTCACAAGTCTGTCGCTTCAATCAGCGTAAAGTTCATTTCCTTCCCGAGGTTTGTGCGATGATCAAATAGTCCGTACTTAAGTAATAGAAAACGCTCGTGTTAAAGGAAACCCGTGAAACTGCACGCACACTTCCATGCGTGTTTGCATGAGTACGAGTATGTATGTGAGATGGCAGTAAGACAAACACATTGACACATACTAGTATACGAAAATAATTTTATGCGTACTTAAGATATATTAACGCTTATGTCTTTCTGAAACAAATACGCAACAGTCAGACGAAGTAGAGAGGATTTCAGATACTTGTCTCGACCCTCTTCAGTGCGAGCTTGTTACTAATGGCAACGAATGACGTCATCCATTATTTGATGACGTATCGGTATTCTGACGTGACTTAATCAGAGTTTGAAAGTAGATCGCAGAGATAAGTTGACTGGTTTATTTCCACCACGCACGTGTAGACCATCTATTTGTGATAAAAAATGACAGTTTGTACATAACATGGCGAGCACTTAGTCTGTATAGAAAACTTGAAAATAAACAAAACATGTAATCTAACTTACACTTACCCTATGCGATATATGTATAAACTTCAAACATAAAGACATATGCATGTATCGTACAGGTACTGTTAAAGGACTGCTTGAAGCGAAAACAGCACACAATATGTAATGCAAGAATCACTCAACAACGTTCAGCATGCACTGAAGTGCTAGAATACTAATGAATGGTATTTGTTAAAGCTTAAAATAATTATGATTATACCTAAGAAACCTGAAATAAACGACATCAGTTGGTCCACATTTCAACGACATGTAAAGCTGGTATGTACTTACCTGATAATATTCGACCACTTTGCACATCACATTGCCCAAGAACCACGTTTCCCAAATAGACTGAGTGTACGACGGCGGAAGACAGAGGACAATAACTAGAAAATCCGCCACGGCCAAATTCACAAGGAAATAGTTAGTGGTTGTTCTCAGCAGCCGGTTCCTCCACACCGCAAAGCAAACCAGGAAGTTTCCAGACACTCCGAATATGAATACAAGTATGTACAGTATAGTAAATATCCACTCATGGGGTTTGGGATATATGAACGTATAGATGGAGCTCATTAAATCCTCGTCCGACTGAAAGCATTGCTCTATCGGACCTTCTTTGGGATGATAATGTTTGCACGTGTGATTGGTTCCGTTCATTATCACCATTGTGATTATTCAATTGTGATTATCCAAAGTCTTCCTGTTCCTTGCAGTTGTATCAGGCAGGTGTTACACAGTTGTTACCATGCCACATTGTCGTTGCGAGCCCCGTCGAACGTTGTTGCTTTGTTTACGACTTTTAACCTTCTTTATTAAATATGAAACGAATGTTCCACAGATGAATTAGCTCGTGTTTGCCCATGGACATGAGTTTACGATCCTAATTATCCTGGCGATGCCACAAGTTGTTGACACAGTGTAACACGTTCCTTTACACAATTGAAGCCCTTCTGTTGTCTGTTTAACGGCAAGGATTGATATGGTGGTACTCGATGGTCTCCTTTTGACCTCTGTCTGTAACATTTGTTAAAATCAATAGGAATTACACTCACAAGTGATTACGTTCAAACTAGCACTTCACGCAGACAGTACTCTACAGGGAAATAGAAACACCACAGGGACAAATCATTGACAGAAATTACCAGCTGAGAACCACACACTTCATCATGCGACTATGTCAAACTTTGATGAAATACAATAAACACGTGTGCATGGCCACATATGCCATACGATACATCTGCGAAGTCATATACGTCCTCTAAAATGTTTCCTACTTCTCAGTGTCAAATCGCAACACTCTCTGGATTATCTATTTCCAGTTTGTCCAAGTCCGGCTATTTAAGAGTTCATGATTGTCCATATTTATGTTGCATCATCGTCCTTTCGTTCAATGTGACATGTACACCACATGCCTCTTTCCATCACCACTTGGTATTAGGAAGCTGAGAAGCTGTACATCGAAGCCTCTGTAACCCCTCGTGGCAGTCACCTGAACCACACATGTAGAACCCAGACAGATGGTGCTGATCGTTGACAGAGGCCCCCGTAAGAGAAAATGATTGGCGGAAATTGCTGCCACTTTCAACCAGTCGCAGCGGGACTCGGAGACAATCGATAACCACGCCCCGTCGTCAGAAGAAACATCTCCGGCCTGTACCGTCGGGAGATGAGAGAAGTAGATGAACGCTGTATTGGACACGAATTCATATTTCTTCTTGAGACTTGATTCATTTTTAAATTTGTCTTCGTAAAATGGGAATGGCATTAACCATTTCTTTTCTGAATTTCAGAACAACAAAAACCTAACTCCATGATTTAAATTTCAAATTCATTTTATCGGAGTTAAGGGAAGTGGTTATTATATATTATGGATGAATTGCTCAATATGAATGTTCCCTTGGGAGATATATATAACAGTTTAAGTCTCATGTGAATCATAGCTATTACAGTACTGATGGCCTAAGGGCTGTTCTCATAACGGACCTTGCACACTACAGCATTCTGGATAATTCCGTATTGATCTTTCAAAGGTGTTTTGTTACATGTTTTGTCGGAGAATATGCACTGTCAAAAGGCAAAATGTTAACAGTGTTGACACTTGATAAGCAAGGTAAGTAATTCCTTTAAAAGAGGGGCGGTATCGTAGCCTAGTGCTTAAAGCGTTCGCTCGTCACGCCGAAGACCCGGGTTCGATTCTCCACATGGGTACAATGTGTGAAGTCAATTTCTTGTGTCCCCTGCTGTGATAATGCTGGAATATTGCTAAAGCGGCGTAAAACTAAACCCACTCACTCACTCCTTCAAAAGACCATGACCTGACCGAGGGAGTAACTCGGGGTTGCATTTTTCAAACCATTACCTTGCCTCGTCGGCGTAATGCCTTCAAACAGGGTTTCAGTAAGTGACGTTACCTACGAAAGTCCACTATTTCAAGAGTATTTGAAGCCGCTTTATTAGAACTACGAAATAATCACATCAGAATATCCTTCAATACATTCCTTCACACGAACACGAAGAGTCCTGTGCTTTATTGTTTACGTATCTTATGAGACACTAACAAGAGTAAATGCGTTGATGACATTTTACTGTCAGTGAATAGGAAGTGTTAGAATACTTCAACACAACATAACGCTTCGCTAATGTCCATAAAATCTTTAGGCATAGCATTAAATGTAATTAGTCAATCATAACTGAATACTATAAATCTTACAACGAGGCGCATTTTCCAGTGAGTGGGTGAGTGAGTGAGTGAGTACAGTTTAGCGCTGCTTTTAGCAATATTCTGCTAGAAATATGGTTGGAGCCGTTTGTAATAGCAACCTAACCAGAAAGTCTGAATATTTATTATTCCTATCTCTTCTATTCGTCAATTTCCAGATGATGAAGTTTCTATTCTGCGCATGTACGTAATTGATTGTTGCAATTTACACTTTTTCCAAGTAATACTCCCAGAAGGGTCTGCCTCCAACGGTCCCTTTCATAGCAATTTATCCCAGTTCCTGTTCGGCTTCTGGTAGTAGCTTTGATCTCTGTCGCTGAACTAAGGCTGTGATGTAATTATACTGTCCCATTGAAACAATACGACAGCTTCCCTCATCCCAGGATGTAGTTATATAGTGATGTAAATCACAGGGTTAGCCTGACCTGTGATCATCTTTGTCATGGATAAATCAATTTACCATCCTGTTGCGCGACGTCGTGGCAGTATGTAGGTCATGGTCCGGCTGGAAAAAACATTTTGTGACCAGATAATCTACTTTATTATAGCTGTTACATGAATCAGGAACCCGGTGTGTGGTGTAATTGTTTTTTACCCGATGCGGAGTTACATTCTGTCACGCTGTTGAAACCTCAAGGGTTAAATCAGATTGAAAAATCAGGATTTTCCGATATTGTGCTGCTGTTGTCAACACATCATTTATCTGAAGTTTACTGCATTCTAGGTTAGTGCATTGCACCATGCAGCTGTTTTAGTGACCTTTATTTTGTTTAAAATGTCTCAATGTTCTTCCGACGAGCTTTTATTCGCAGTATTTTATATACCTTATGGAGGAAATGACTGGGTTTTTTTGGGGGTTTTTTATTTTGTGTTTGTTTGTTTTGTTTTGTTTTGTTTTGTTTTGTTTTTTTTTGGGTTTTGTTTTTGTTGTTGTTGGTTTTTGGGGTGTGTGTATTGACACGGAGCTGTGTTTCGGAGATACAAATGGGAATAGTGAGTGAGTTAAAATGTATCGTCACATCGGCAATATTTCAGCCATATCGTGACGAGAACAGAGTACCAGAAAATCCCGGCACTGCGTGAAAATCAAGGTTACAAAACCATCTTCATTACAAATTTGTCTACACAACCTATATCCTATAAGAATGCACGAAGAAAGTATGCAATTCAACTGTTACGGTTTACGTACAACAAATTCACTTATGAGCTCCTAGTGAGTATGGAATGGCGAGCTGAGTCGAAGGGATCCAATATGTGCCGACCGTTGGACAGCAATAAGTGGGGAAGCTGCTTTGGTTCCATGAATAGTGAGCAGTTTTCAGCCTGTTGAAGGGAATAAATGCTTTAACTGATTTGGACCTGTCTTGTGTTATTCAAGAAAACTGTAAGTTGCAGTCGCAGAAGCTATGAGCCTGAAAGGAATTTACAACATTCCGTTAAACCAAATTAAACACTTAAGTAGTTCGGGGAAGTTGGCCAGCCCAGCGATCCGACCGTCCGCTTGGGTCTATATATTAACGTATATCATTTTTCTAGTTTGACATATCAAGGCATATTATCTGTCTTTCGTCCGGGAAATTCAGACGTGGGAGGTCGGTATATCTTGATATTTATTTTGAGATACTGTTTGCCGTACACCAATCGATTAACACACCCACACGGCTATCAAAGGACGGAATCCAAAAAAGAATTATGTTTCTTATCTCTTAAATCAGAGGATACAGATATAGCATATAAACGTCACTCAAGCGTGAAAAGATTAGATTGTACATTAAACACAGCTGAGTTGTGATCACAAGATAAAGGCAGATCTTCATGATATTGACATTATGGATGAACTGATTTTATAAATTGCACACGCGACTCACATTGTTAAGACTTGGAAATGTATTTCTGTAATGAGCGTGAACAAAGAACATGGGGCTATTAATAACTCAATCAATGAACAAACACGTATGTCGTCTACGTTGAGGTAAGTAGTATGTACGTAGACGTAAGTACCATCTGTAGTACCAGTACGCTTCCATATGTTTCATGTTTAGACCTTAGTAAGAAGTAAGAAGACAGAATGACGTAAAATATATGACGAGAGTGCCGACATAAACCTTCCGGTGGTTATCTTTCTCTGAACTTCGAGCAATATTCCCTACTGCTCTTGTTGCCTCCATACCAGCTCTTGTGGACAATCGGGCATGCACTTTCTTAGAAGTTTTCAAAGAGCACCAAACGGACTTTGCGCTAATTGTGTGATCAAGATTACGATATTGTTTCCTAAATCTGTCAAAAAGCATCGGATATTTCCACATCGCTAACCCAAATGATGTTCGCTGAAATCCTTTGGATTGTTTTGTACCATACATTCCCGTGGTTTGTTCAGGTGAACAGTTGTCTCACCTTTGATTTTGGTTGATGCCATTATTTGGGCAGGATAAACTCAAATTATTGTGAAAGCCTGATATCATAATTTTTTCATGTTGTTTCATGACCACATACCCGTGAAGATCCGGGTTAGAATTGATCTTCAGTAATCCATGCTTGTCGTAAGAGGCGACAAACAGGATCGGGTGGTCATGCTCGCTGACTTGGTGACACGTGTCATCGTATCCCATTTGCGTAGATCGATGTTCATGCTGTTGATCACTGGATTGTCTGGTCCAGACACGTTTATTTACAAACCACCGCCATGTAGCTGGAATATTTCAGCCATATCGTGACTAAAACAAGTTATAGATTGACAATAATTATAGATAGAGTATAAAATCCTGTCAACGAAAACCTGTCTAAATTCATCAACATCATCTTTAGACTAGTTGCAGCTGCATGGGAATCATGTTAACTTACTTTGTCATAATTCATTGAAAATGTTACTGTATATATGTATTTACCTTATATTGCTGTCATCTTGATTGATTATATTATCATATGAGAATTTACATTGTACTTTTCTCATGTACCACCGTTGGTGGGTTCTTTTGAGAATAAACTGTCTGTCTGTCTGTACTCTCTGGAATACAAAGGCCGTGTAAGATGTGTGGTGATTTAGGTTATTCTGATATGATAATATAGTTCACACTCACTGACACCCACGCACGCACGCACGCACACGCACTCATACACGCACACACACTAACAAAATAGTTCTGGTCAGAACTGAAATTAGTCGCACATTGACCCTTGCAAAATTTCTCTTTATGTCGTATTCTTGAGATGCAGATTCCGAGCCATGCAGAATGCCTATGTCTTCATGTTTGGGAGTCAAGCCAATATTGCAAATTGATGCCTCGTTGTGAAGGACTTCCTCCTTGTTTTAAACACCATTCGTATAGTTGGAATGGCCTGATATGTCACAAACAACATTCAGTCTTTGAATGGCATTTTTTGAGCGTTTTGTGTTCGCCAAATACGATATTTAAGGGAACAACACTTTCTAGGGTTCGTGCTCTAATTCGTAAACTCAACGGGCGTAAAGTATTCCAATAAAAAGAAGTCAAGAGCGTCCGAATCTTTCGTATTACTATCACAGCAGAACATATGAACTACATGAAAGTATCAGTTGTTTTTCAAGTTCTTTTGTGGATTTATTAAAGAGAAGATATCAGCATCCGTAAAGCTCCACTTGACTTTATTAAGTATTTCAGCGTATTTGTATGTCTCCGTAATCTTCTTTGAACCCACACTGCCAGACTGAGGCGTCTAACCGCCAGCACACACAGTCATCGATATAACACATATAAAA